GGATCTTGCATGATTTTTCAAGTTGCCCACATCAAAAAGCAAAGGTGGTTAAAGTAATTTGTTTTCTATGCCGAGATGAAGACAAAATTAAAGCAAAATGATAGATAAGTAAAATATAGCATTGCATAAAGCAACTTAGACAATCATGGGGGAGGATAATAAAAAAATACTGGAGGTTATTTTGAGAGCTGTCCTTTGATGAGGAAATACAGTTGGTTTCTTTTTTTCAAGCCCTGTATCTTTATATCTATCTGCACGAAGTTAAATGCATTTATAGTATCATGGCATAAAGCCAACATACACTAAATTGTAGGCTATCAATTATTCAAAGAGTTACACAGATACAGCCTTGACTGGATGGATGACTTGTAGCTTGACCTGAGCAGCTGCAGTCATAAATGCTTTTGACACTGTCCCTGATTTTTGGCAGTAAACTTTATCACAAACGGACATGCATTATGCATGAATCATTTTGCACCATTTAAGCTCAGACAACCTTGAAAACAGGCATTTCACAAAGACGTAACAATGTGACCACCTTGCAAGTATCAAGTACAAGATTTTCGTATATGAACAGTCCTACCTCAACAATTAGCAATGTCTGATTGTAATAGGCTATCATAGATTTACTCGTATACTAGCCCTTATTGTTTAATATTATAATAAGTATCCCGCATGCACATACTACCTACCTACCTAGTCCCATGACCGACACTAGTCATGTACTTGAGTCGTAGACTAAATTTATACTTCAACTGAAGCTAGCAATTCTTACTTCCTAGACAGACAATAAAAGAAACCTGAACCCACCCCAAACCTGGCCTCTAAGTACTGTCCCAACACGTCATGGTGCTCCCAAAACCAGCTACGCAGAGCTCGGCAGACAGCAATGACACGATAGCGTCCTTTTCTATGAGTTCTCATCTCGCATACTTGCCACATCAGTGGAAACTGGTGTTGAGCAGAGAATCTTAGAGCTGAAAAATCTGCAGAGCTCCAGACAGACAGACCTAGCTGGTATTCTCCTGACCTGCACCTACCAGAAGATGGCATTGTTCTGTTTCTTTGTCCCAGGGCGGCCTGCCTTTCTCCAAACCTTGACCCAGCTCGGCGCACTTTTCCATGACAAAAGTTCTGCCACAATGATTTCTGGGCGCCTACAAACCCGTGAAAGGACCAGCGAGAACCAAGCACCGTGGAAAATTGCGTCAGCCTCCATATCACACGGCCTCTGCCTCCCCGAAAACCATTGTTACCAGGGCGATGTTATCCTTTATTATAATAGTTACCATAGAAACCGATGCTGTTCTTTTTCAAATCAAACTTCACAGACAGGCTTACCACCACGTGGGGCTGATAACTTTGCTCAAAAGGCAGAACTATTCTTTTTGTCTAACAATGACCTTTTATTGTAATTTCATGCCTTATGCCATAGCAACCTTAGCTGCATCGAAGGTAGAAAATCAAAATGAAAGTGTGAGACACCAAACAGATCAGATCGATTAAACAATCCTTATCTTGAGTATGAGGAGCTTTATCCTTACAAATCAATTCTTACCGGTTTCAAAGGTCTTTCTATTGTGATTGAGTTTAATAGTATTCGTTGAGCTTTCCATAAAAAGATAGAACTAATGGTGCAGCACAGCCATGTTCATAAAACTGCACCATCATAAAACTTCTAATGCCAGGTGTTGGCTCATATTTTCATGGATATCTCTTGTGAAATATGTAAGCCCTGCTTTTGTGTAGCCTTTTAGATTTATTACACCTGATAATATCACAAACGTTTACAAAGATCCCTATTACCATGTCTTCACTTTAAAAGGCCCAGGTCACAGGTCCCAACTTCTTGTCTATCCATCTCTTTGCTCTTAACTGTTATTACGGGACCACCTGTTCCTTTGGCATAAATTTCACACACTGTCTGAACAGATTTCCTTTGTCATCAACCTTTGCTTTAGCAAGCAACAACTCTGCTTCTGTTGCAAAACTCTTACTCCCAAACAAACTGCTTATTGCACATAGCCCAAGGGGAGCTGCCAAGGGATACTTATTGATGAAACTTTATAGATTCTAGTAAGTAGGTCAACTCAATATTCTGAAGCTGGTGTACAAATAATAAATCAGATCTAAATCAGACAAGTAGAATATTGGTTAGATCCAGCAAAGAGCATTCAATTTGTCTTTCGGACCAATATATTCCATATGCTCCTTCTGTTTAATCCATATTATTCATCCACTACTTTTCATACAGTATGGCTTTCAAAATATCTATTCCCTACCACCCCCACAGTTTAAATGGAACAGCCGTATGACTTCTTCCAAGCGTAGATGTCATCCAGGATTGAATAAACCAAAGCTTGTGTGAAATTAGTCTGCTCGGTGACCCTCAGGTCTACCTTCCAGCCTTCGTGCTCTTTTCCACTTTCATAACAGCTTTTTCCTTCAGGTTGTCAGATTTGGTAAGACCTGTGCTCTGATCCGCGGCAGATGTCACATTACTTTAGTTCATTTCCATCCAACAACGCACGGTGGATTCAGACCATATTTTCCTTGACTACCCACTATTGGATCCAAACACACATTTCCATTAGTTACAGCAAGCATCAGCAAGAAAGGGGGCAAACTGTTTAGTCGCTTTAAGCCACCATTCTACCACAAAAGACCGTTTCTCGAAAACTCACGTTGACATGAAAAGCCTTGCGGCCGACCATTCTTCACGAAACAGGATTACTGATGGACTTTACAAAGCGTGTGTGTCTTGGAAGTGTTGAAGAATACCAATAGTAGACTTAAAAGACGGGAATCTTAAGACTCTACTGCCACAAGAATAGTTAAGTTGTTTCACGCGTTTCGAAACCACAACAGTATATAAATGGATTGCGCACCTAGTCAAACTGCAAGTGCAACCTGTTTTTTTTCATCTACGTATTGTTGAGTGTTTCTAATGATAAAGAATTACGGAGAATAGTGAATTTGTTTCAACTTCCTTCATGCCTTTTGAAAACACCAACGCATAAAATTAATATGGATTGGGCACTCAAAGTCAAACTGTTACCTGTGTTTTGTTCAGTGTATATATTGTTTAACTTAAGAATTATTTATCTGTCTAAATGTCTATAACTGTTAGGAATTTACATTACTTAGGAGTATGCTGGTCATAAAATGGTATCCCTAGGTTCGTGACCTTTTGTTGTTCTGTCATAAAGAGAGAGAAATGACAATAGACCGGCAGCCATGCAAAATGCGATATTTGCAGGCAATCTCGCCGAAATGTACCGTGACTAGCCATAAGCTGTCAAGTGCCTTGTGGAGGGTATTTATGGTCTACTTCTTTCATCAGAGCCAGTGGGGTAAAACCTGCATCGGTGGTAAATCAGGTAATGGGCTTAGAGTCTCCAAGTACCCTAGACAGGAGGATTTTGTCTTGTAAGTCTCCATTTGTGAATCTTTCATGTGTTATGTCTTCTTTGTGTTACTGGTAAAACGTGTCATACATTTTGAAACGATCACTGCAACTTGGAATAATCGTTTGACAATTACTGTAATATTCATAGCTTTGGGTCTCTTTTGTATGGTGAGGTAACATTCGTGAAACAAAATAAGTCCACACCACATTCCTGCTTAAAATCAAGAGATTTTGTGCTTGTATAAATGTTTACCTCAGTAAGTTACTGGAGGTAATGTTTTCAGTGTATTTACTCGTGTTTTCAGTGTATTTAGTTGTGTTTCCATAGTTGCTACATCTACAGGTACTTCAATGGGGTTACTAATGGGAAGTTAGGTCAAAGGTCCCAGAAAAGGTTACCTTGTTTCCTGTCTTCAATTTCTTGCTATATGCATGTATGTTGCATTATACTAGTCAGTAGGAAAATGCATGATTTAGTGGGAAATCCACAATAATGAATAAAACAGGATATTTAAAAAAAATCAAAATGGCTGCCAGGCGCCAACTCTAATGACACTGTAAATTTATAGTTAATTATACAATGTTTCCTGAAATACATGTCTCAAAAATAAGTCTCCGAGGGCAGGTAAAGGGTTATAACGTTACTATGTCAGAGTCTGGTAGCAGCAGACAGATTAATGGAGGAAGAGGGAATTCATTAGTACCGAAGTTCATCCTTCTTTGCCATTAACCCATTATCCCAGTCTGGCTTGCAGCACTACAGAGCTACATCACCCCAGGGTCATGCTTCACAAGTCCATGTTACATGACTACGCCAACCCATCACCATCAGCCATTAGCAGACCTGCAGATCTGGTCAATTTCCCACTTCCCGCAACCTCGTCACCTGAACTTGACCTAGCCATAAATACCCAAGGTCAAACCTTGAGTCAGCAAATACTGGTACTCCTGGGTCTCTTAATCATACACGGGTATGGTGTAGACTTCAAAACAACTACACAATGCAAGTACTTCATTTCTTGATATTGTAATCTTGTCTATGGTCTAATGTTCTAGTATGTATCATCATCGTAGGCATTCTTTGAAAACTCGAATCATGGCGATACCGTCTGGTACTGTCATATGCTGCATCAATGTTTAATATGGGGATCCACTGACATTCATAGAAAAGTCAAGTTCAGAAGCCCAGACATGCACGAAAGACAGTTGTCCTCTGGCTGACAAGGCAAGTACATGTACATAATGCTTTGTCAGGAGATCTTATGTGACTTATGATGAAGGTCACTGTTCTAAATAGAGATACATGTACTAGAAACGCATTGACAGGGTGAAATGAAGCTTTAACATATTGGTGATAATGGCTTGTGTAACACATAGAATTCACTACACTAGATGAAGAGTTGTGAAGAACTACTAAAAGTTGGACCAGAAGAAAATGGTCTGGAACAGAAGAATGGGTCATGAAGAAAACTACATATAGTCTACAACACAATCCTACAATTAGTACAAAAGACATGACACAGATGCCACCTCCCTACTTTTACACCAACCACCACCACACAAGGACTAGGGGATAACGTAATATATTAACCTGTTTTATGTATGAGGCTCTGGAATCCATGCTCGACTCATCCCCTGCATCCGTGGAGTCCTGGAATCACAGTAATCAGGGTTTTTATAATATCAAAACAGAAGGCATACATGTTAAAACAATTTTTGCATTGAAGTTGACAGACCATGCAAGGTACCAAAAAAAATCAAACACTGATGAAAAATCAAATAATTGCTGGCATGGATTCTGCTCTCATGAACTATTGATGATAATGAGAGATGGTATGGAGTCATGGACCTGTGTAGTGTCAGTTGATGGGTATTTTGTTAAGTTATTAAATTGAAACAAAAATGGAACGTTAACCAGCACTGGGTTGCCAGGAAATCTGGTCAATATTGTTGTTAGTCACTTTGTTACAAGACAAGCCACAATGGAGACAATGCTTATTCTGAAATAAACATGGAGGCAAGAAAAGGAACAACATTTCTATAATGCAATGTAAGTATATCATGAGACATGTAAAGCAGTTAATGTATGGCCTACTACACTTTGGCAATCATGCAATCCTTGGCTTCCTGAATTCCCCAAGTTGACCTCTAGTTACTGCTGGCATCAAGCCAGATTCTGGGACCTTCATGTTCACCCTATTTCCTGTATCTAACCTTTTGGGTTCCTATGATTATGTCTGTCATTGCTGTCAATCTTTAATACTGTCAACCAACTCTGTCCGGACAACGCAAACACACAGACAAACCTACCCAAAACAATACTTCTATACTGTAAGTAACAACCTTGTACTTAAAACTAAGCACCACCTTCTTTAATTCACAGCCCTGAAGGTCAGGCAATATTCTCCTCCTTGCAGGAAATTACAGTTAGGTAATCAGATTCACTTCCTGGGGTGTGAAGGATGCCATCCAATAACACAGACTATATATATTATTTATAGCAGACATGGAATGTAATATCATCTTCCAAGGATGTTCATAGTCTTAATCAGTTTATCCTTCTCTCCTTTCAAGACAGCTAAATCTGGCAACAGGCACAATTATTCAACAGAAATGTATTACTGATTCTCTGAACAATGAAGGCAACCTTAATAACCATTTGCAAGGCTCAGAGTACAATTGATAGCTTTCATTATGTTTCTATACTCTTATTGCAACACTGTAGTCTAGGACTGTAAAAACAAAAGACTTTAAATAATGGAGGAAGTCTCTGTTATCAGTTTTACTGCAAATTGAGAGGATTCGCTCATAGCTCATAAGACACCATGGATCAATGTAGGTGCTCTCATCACATGACGCATTCTAATGTATTTAAGATGCGTGACTCGTTTTGCAGAGTACTGCTAGCATCAGTCATTACTTTTCACAAGGGTTTCATCCCATATGAAATGTCTGCAGCCATGTTCGACCATTGTGTCCTTGTCTGGGGTCATATTCTGTCCACCAATCATTACTGTGTATGAAATAGTTCTGACGCAGGGGGAAACGAGGCACTAGTGGGTTTCAGTTCCATCGACAATCTGGTTTTCCACTCTTATGTAATTTTTCACGTGGAAGAGAACTCTGCTAGTCTAGGTGATCCAATTCATTACAGCTCAGAAAAATCACCAATTCGTCCTTAAGAGTGAACTTGGGAAATGGTCCCCATAAGCCAAGGATCTGAAATATGGACTTGATATTTGAAACATGTCCCAGGTACGAGATAACAAGCAAGATCTACTACATGAAAGGGACCACTTTTCTATAGCCTATACCATTTTTACGAAGTACAGGGGAGTAGCCAACCTATAAATTTTTTTTAGAAGATTGAACAACAAACCATTCTCTAATCGATAATGTATGTTGTAAAAGAATTAAGGCTAGAAACGTGAAAGGAATATCAATATTTGTTAACTTTCACTGCAATTTCCCATGAATTTTAGCTCATTTCTTCTCACCATTATAAAGATGGAAACAGGTAGGCTGGTTACCAAACCTATTTTAGCTGCCAAGTCTCTCTTGTGCTCTCTGCAAATAGCCTCTATTTCATGTCCTCTAAAGGCTCTATTTGTAGAGAAGATAAAAGACACTCCGCAGGTAAAATAGGTTTGGTATCCAGGCTAGGACACAAGGGTCTAAAACAGCCCTGAAGTCAGCCCTTGTATTTCCAAGGGTGTATATACAGATTTTTCCTCTGAACATTTCTATAGAAAACCCCTGGTATGTAACCCCACCACCTGTTAATCATGGTCGCAAAGTTCAATACGTAATGCTTGGACAGCTCCCCAAGGACCCATAGGACTTCTCTTGTCTCCCTAATGTGCCCCTTCCATGCTCTAGATATTTAACGGCTGATAGAAATCAAAGACCCCTTAACAACCTGGGATCACCCGGGGCAACAAGTTTAATGGGGGATCACCTAGGGCAGCAAGTTTAATCATTCTTCCTTTCTGATTGAGGATGATTGAATAGGTAATCTCCCGCTGACCTAGTTTAAGTGGAGATGTAAGAGTAGTTTGCTGAGACAGCATCTTTGCTGAATCGTCATAGCCTGATTACCAAACCCAATTTTGCTAGACTGAGCCTCTTTCGTCCTCTACACAATTTTGGTGAGGACGAGACTTGGCAGCTAAATAAGGTATGGTAACCAGGCTAGTATCGTCAAGAACAGTTTCACATAATAATGGTGCAGTCATATACATAACATAATCCCAAACTAAGGACATTCTTGGGGCGGTCATCCTGAAAAATTTACATGTCCTGTTTCAGAAAAAAGTAACTTAGACTTTAGAGATCGTTGTTGGTTGTTGGTTCTGTTACAGCCTGCTTCAAAATACTGCAACACCTACGTTGAACATAGCCACACCGAAAGTAGCCTTTTGGTCTTTGAAACTTCTTCAGGACTATAGGCTGTACTACCCACACCCCACCTCCTCCCAGAACGCACAATTTTGCAATGCAACAGCTTCAATTCAAGCCAATATTTCACCGTTATCCTTTGAAAGATCAATTGGGTGATCCAGTCGCCTTGAGGATATAGGCTGTTAGGGTTTATATCATTCCTAGATGCAATCAGACACTCTGCTTTTCTCCAAGGCATCGTAACTCCAGACATCATTGGGTAGTAAAACTTTGTGGAAATGGCACCTATGAGCTTAGTTCATTTCCTGCGCTGAAAAAGTGGTGCACCGGCAAGTGATCGAAATAAAGATATGATTATGAAATGAATATAAACATGCGCTGTAAGATTTTGCTGATGTAAACATAAGGCTTCATAACTATTTTGAAGGGCTGAGATAATTCTTAGGAATCGTTTGAGAAATAGACCAAACTAACAACCATGCAGCTCTATTGGAACAGCACAGAGTCTTCTTCAAGTCACGACAATCGAATCCGAAGCTGAGGAAAGAGAACATTTCAGGTTTTATACAACCTAGTACATGTAGCGAAGAAGGCCTAAAATAGTAAAATACTGTATGGGTTGAGCAACTGGGTTGCTACAGGCACATCTCAGCTCTTTGAACCTTTGGGACTTGGGAGTGATGATTACTACACACCCTACACAGACCAGGAGGCTTTCATCTATCTTATGATCAAGTACTGTAACTTCCCATTTAGTGTTCAACAGGCCACGGCTTTTATGTGAAGTCTTCAATCTTTGGCGCCAGACAATTTTGCTTTTCTCTTGAGGCCTTGTTGTGATTACAGACTTTCTGGCGTTGAAGAATAAGCGAAGTGACTTCATTTCTTTCTATAGCAACATTATCTATTCTTAATTTTTATGGCTCCGCCAACAATTACACATTACGTCAGTGAACTTCATCTTCGCGATCTTTCTGTTTGAATAATTTATAGCTCATGCATGCTTGCAAATTCCTAATTCTTCATAGCACCTTATTCAACTTCTAAAGTCCAGAAATCTTCTATCCCATCTTCAGAGTATTTTTAGCACACACTGATGCAACAGTACATCACATGCACTCTAACGTTCAATCACGTAAACCGTTTCCCCCACTGACTTACAATGTAATTACGTTACAGGCTCAAAGTTCAATCAGATGCTACATTCTTAAGGCTAACCCATTTTTGAGTTGTAATTACAGATCACGGGCCCAAAGGTGCCAAACTTGGCGTCTTAGTATGCTGCAGGCATGCACACTTCATGTCTAAACTCTTACCATAATAATAAAGCTAATGCAATGTCGAGATCGTCAGGGAATAGGAGTTTATTGCAGTATAGGAATATTGATTCAAGGATTGAGTGTTGGATTTACATGTCTTGGTTCAGTGTTCAAGCTGACACATTTATTGATATTCTATGCAGCAGATGGCAAGGCTAACACCCTTCTAGGCTGGAAGGATCAAGATGGTAGAAAGCCCCCTTAAGAAATTACATGCCTTAAATTTTATCTACAATAACTACGAAAGGTTAGTTTGAACTCACTGTCATGTTTTTTTAAGTGGTTCAGTGTTGGACAGTATTGCTGATTTACATTTCTGGGAATCTGATTCTTCTGCACAGCCAAGTTAAATCCATGCACAAGTAACTGTTGAAGGCTTTCTAGGGCTTCCAGAGCTCAACACCTGTCTCCCAAATGCTCTTTAATCAAAGCTAATTGCCAGTGTTACAAGTACACTCAAGAAGGCTTTAAACTTGAAGTTGGCAAACTAATTGTGGATCCAAAATAAGTCAATTCAAAGGTTGTTCAAACACGAAATCTTCAGTATTTCAAGCCCTGTTAACCCTAGTTATATTACCATAGACAAGTTTCTTTCCCAGGACTACTTTGACTGATTGTGTACCTGTCTTACCGGCATGTTCTTCGTGACTGGGAATGACCATGGTACATTACCACTGAGCCCGCCTCTCCAAAAGTGAGAACCACGGTTCCCCGACTTTGGAAACAAGACATCTAGATTGAAAGGTATTGATTCTGTGGGCCTGAGAGCCATTCTTGTGGGCTATAGTTCATGTAAGGAACTGTTCCTCCTGGTATTCTACTAATGGTATTCAGCACAGGGTCGGAACATGGACGAAAGGTTGCCTTTTTATTATACCCTCTTCGACTAGAGGCTGCAACCACCACTGAGTAAAAAAAAATTGACAGGCTGCTCAATGAATTCATACGTTCAAGAAGACTTTTTTCAAATTCTTGTGTCTTGTTTTAAAATCTCACTTAAACATTATGCATTGTATTCTGATCATAAAATCAAGGGCCACATAAATCCAATTTTGGTCGGTCAATATAGAAAGGGAAACCTAGCCATAAGAGAAAGACTAGCAATTCATCAACTGAGAGAGAAGGGGAAATGGGGCATAACAAATACAGTTACATACACGACAAAGCAATAAAAATCTGCGTTTTAGCTGCTTTCTTTCAATCCTTCCAACATAAAGCAAGGTGATATTTCACCCTGGTAATACAAATTGACAGCCGATAGGCGGTTAAGTGGCAACTGCTTTTCGCAGTCCTTTCCAGAGGCTTGATGAAAATCCTCCAACAGGGATAAATGCAGGGAGACTGATTACCCGTGGCCTTGAGCCCTGCCTCTTTAGTACATCCAGCCTTCCCTCAGAGTCGTTAATTTCTCGTGGGGATGACAAAGATTAAGTATCTGCTTAGAGGATTCTGCAGAAGTCATGCAAAGCTGTAATCGGTGGTCTGAGTCCTGTTTGACGGGAAATCAAATTTGACGTTGACAGACTGATTTTCTAATTTGAAAAAAGCATGAGCACAATGGTGAGAATACGGTAGACAAGTGTCAACTTGACCGAATCTTTGAGCTGTGAATGTAGTGACAAAATTGATATAACTGCCTTTCCGATATTACATTTCGAGCTTTACACAAGCATTCAAGAAATTGCCAAGTATTTCATACCTGATCTTCAAAGACTTTCCCAACACTGGGTTTTCCTGGAGCCCTCTTGTAATGAGACACAGACATACACCCAGAACTCAGTAATGCATTCCCAACGATTTATCAACTTCTAATGTCCTGAACTACACCCACACTGTATTCGTAAATCACAAATCATTCTGAAAAGTCCATTTTTCTTGTGTCAATTACTGTGCCACTTGTGTCCTTACCTACAGCTATTCTTAACGATTACTTGAACGGAACTGGCCTTACGTATTAACATTTCAAATGCTCTACTTCTTCCTGTTATGCTCTTCATTTTGTTAATTTATGTTTCCTAATGACCTAATACTAGTTGCAAGGAAGTTCACATTTCTCTAATTTTTCCTAACAATTCTAGTAACAAGCATGCAGGTGTTTTTAATCTTACACAAACCAATATAGACATAACATGGGTACATGATCCCAGTAACCCAGTGTCAAGCAACTTGAGAAGTTGTATGCGTTGTAGAGAAGTAATCGCAGCATCAAAGTAATGAGTTACACTAGTTTTAATGGTCCAATATATCTTAATTTATCCCAACTTCGGTAAGGGTCAACACAAAGTCAGCTTGACATATCCAGGCTGTTGTACAAAGGTGACCAAAACTTCCCAAAGTTAGAACACAGCAGCTTAGTATAACTTAATTGTTTTATCTTCTTAATTAAAGAGTTATTGTTGACATATATAAATGCACTGATGTTAGGATGGTAGATGAAGACCAGTTTGTAATTGTGCAAATGGTAAATGAATGTGGAAAAATGGTCCTGACCACCCCCAGTTTGTGAATGGAATGGCTGTTAGTACAAACATATGACTGCAACATAGACAGAAAAGTGAGTCAGGTGGTACTGTAAATCGTGACATGTCCACGGCGGTTTTAGTTTTTCTGGTTTTGCGGTGTCGTCTTAATGCCGAAGTCAGGATACAGTGCATATGTGTACCATATTTCCACAGAATTGTTTCAACCTGAAACTTCAACCAGTTACCTTCTCTTCATACAGTGAAATTAAAGTTAAAGCACCTAATTAAGTAAATGTCTTTACGGTACCTTATACTCTTCCCAGTCATCCGAGTTGTCTGACGGCTTGAGATCCGCAAACACCGGTCCCGTGGAATACAGCCGCGAGGACGGCCTCCCATCGTTCCGATATTTGTCACAAGTCCTCAGAACCTCCCGAAGGTTCTTTCGCGCATTTTCGTGGATTGTCTTCACGCACTCGGGCCTGGTGGGCGGCTGGAACAGCTCTGTCTGGACCACGTAGTCGTTGTGGTGGTGTTCGTGCAGCTTGGCCACCGCGTCAAGAGTTGTGAGAGCTGCATGGAGACAAAAGTTACAGCGTCAGACAATTCATAAATTCTTCACCATTACATACCAGCATTTTCAGCAATAATTGAAGTATGGTATCCAAGAATAGTTGTCAGAAGATCAAAAGAACTGAAGTAAGGAATTTCATCAGTGCTTGCACCGCATCAAGAGTTGTGAGAGCTGCACAACAACAAAAGTTTCAGCGTCAGATTATTAATACACACATCCTTCACCGTTACATGTAAGCATTTTCAGCCGTAATTGAAGTCTGGTATCCAGGAGTAGCTGCCAGAAGATGAAAGCGTTAACCAATCAACTCACAAACAAACACAAAGAACTAACACAGGGAATTTTTCCTCGGTACATGCAAGAATTTTCCGTGCAGACTGAATTCGAAATGAGTCTGGTACATGTACCTAAGAATAGCTGTGTATCAAACTGGCAGAACCCTTTATCTTCTGACAAAGTTGAAAGCCCTGATAGGAGGTTACATGTCAACTTACAATGATCAGACTTGGCCAAAAATAACATCGTGAACTCTCTAGACAAAACACATGTTCCAGCACGAAAAGGAATTAGCACAGGATGTCTAGGAGAAAGCAGGGCTTATGGTTGAAATTCAAACGTGGTTCGTGTTTCTGTGTAACAGGTGGAAACAAAGGTAGTGGCCCTGAGTTTGGGGGTTGTTTTACATGCCCCCAGAGAGGTTTTACTGTTTGGCTTTCTCAGCTGTCAGGACACAGCCTTGAGCTGTGGTGTTTGGGCAACAGCTATGAAATTATGTGTTCTATGGCTTCTCTTTCTTTACCATTTACTGTTTAGTAAGAAACCACTGTTTTTCAAGAGCTTTCATTAAAAGGTTACCGAATTATCCAAGGAAAAATCCTCAACCCATCCTTGAATTTCTGAACTGCGTGTTACAAAGTAACTGTAGTAGAGAAAATTCAGTCATTCAAGCTTTGGGTTTGTACCTTCTTGCTCAATCTCTCTCTCAGCGAAAAAAAAGGATGCAAAACAACTTATAGACTTGGTATGGCCTTGTGTTATGATTCAACAGCCACTACATCACAGACAGCTTCCCTACAGCTCACATTTTACAACCAGTTCTGTCAAACACACCAACATGTTATATACTTTGTATATGTCTGAAAGATAAGATTTCTTACGAGTTGGCAGCTAGTAAGTAACTGTAACTAAGTGTAAGTCTCAAAAATCAAAACAGTTAAATATATACAGTATTAGAAACAGATTCAGACAAATCCAAATCTCATCAGTTATATTCTGACTCAGCATACATACACTATAGAAAGACTATTTATAAAACAATCTCAACTGAAAGAGATACGCTGAGTACCTTTTACAGTAACTCAATTCTATTGAGAAGCAGCTGAGCATAAGACCAACACAAAAAGCAATGCCACATCTGACAGTCAATTTCCCAACTTTGAAACTATAAAACAGGACAGGAAAGTGTAGTGATAAAAGAACTTAATCTTTGTCCAGATGATTTATAAGGTTTTGGTGATATCCCCTCTTCAATTTCTTGAGTTAGCATTTCAGTGATCAATCATTTAGATAAGGATCAAACGTTACAGACAGGTGTTGTTGTTATAGTGTCCAGCTGTATAATGTACAGTAGCTCAAAAGGACAATGGCTATTTTCTCAATTACTGTACTATGTTAGACCTGGTCTAAAATATAAATGAAGACTTAGAGATACTATAAATGCAGAAACGTTTGTGGCAGTTTTGTTTCTGAAGTTTTTGCAGTGACCACACTAACTACAAAATTGTGTCTTTTATGGTTTGCCTATACTACAGATTCAACTGCAAACACCACAAAGTTCCTTTTCCCACCTGCTACTGCAAAATAAAACGACAGCACAGGCAAGTGCATTTACACACACTATGTATATGTACTCTGAGGCAGTACGATATGAAGACAACACACCAAAAATCACAGAATACATTTTATACCTTCTGAAACATAATAATTCAGTATCAGCGTCATATTTCATAGATTAACAGCAATGCTAATTAACGGCATTCCCACCCTTCTAAAGTAAGATTAATCAACAGTTTCCTTCCTGCTTGTCAGGAAAAGTCGACTTTCCCCCAGTATCAGTATCAAACAGAATCTTAAACTTCTACCTCTTTGATCGTCAAAGTAAAGCCCAGCTTTCCTTCCAATTAACTTTGATTGATCACAGTAATTAGCACCCAGCAAACCAAGCATCAAATTGATTGGTTACAATGGCTTAATACTTTCTAGAAAGCGTGAAAGAGCTAAGGCGGTCTTAAAGGATAAGGTGGAAAGAAGTTCTCTGACTTTTGAATTAGTTCAGCTAAGTTCTCTCATTGACCTTGTGACATGTTCTATTCAACAAATCAGATCAAGCCAAACAACCATTGGTGGATGGGGTTGAACCGATTATCATTCTTTGATGGAGCCTAGAGTCAGTACTGTAAATTCATTTAAGTTTGCAGGGACTGAATTTTGTAGTAGAGGGGCAAAGAGGTACCCATCACATGTTAAGTTTGCAGCAGGTACACAGAGTCTATAATTTAATTGATTGAATGTTCCCAGTGGTGATAGGAAAGGTGACTGTAAAATGAAAAATTATGAACATAAAACCACTTCAAATATTTAAAGATTTACAGTATGACCAGCGCTCTACTCCATCAGGGATGATAAGCACCCCATACAAAATGATTTCATGTCTGTTGCACAAGCTTACATCACTAGGAGATTGATTCGACTTAGTTGGGCATAATTGAAGCAAACTTGGGAGAGTCATATAGACTGGCATGGCTCCAAGAAAGCACAAAATCCCAAAAAATATTCCTTATCTAGCATTACGTGAAGGATTGCTTTTCTGCAACATCAATTTTCAAGGACTTTGCTGTCACACCTACACGGCAATGACCTTGTCCAAATGACCTTGTCTGCTCTCTGGAAAGATTTGTCCCATAAGTTTTAGGAAAGAAAAAAAATCAATACAACAGTGGCACTCTGACTCAAAAAGCAATAGTACAGCTTTTCAATTCTGGGTACAATGATACGATATCGCTTAGTCTACATCCACATTTTCAGCTAAAGAAGTTACATGTATACAGTCAAACCTGGCCAAGTAGACCACCCAGGGGACCACTCAAATTTGGCCTACTTGAGCAGGTGGTCTATTTGAAGAAAATCAGACCAACGACCAAGACATCACAAAGATATGGCAGTTTACAAGTATTATCATATTACATGTAAGTTACTAGTATTATGTATTATAAACCATTATTGCATCATCATCAAAGTACTTTAGTACATGTATATTTTTACTCATCCTTTCTTGACTACAACATGCACACAAAAGTATAGTACTAGAGTAGTGGTAAACACATGAACAAGCAAAACACTGATGTACTTCCAGAAATAAAATATTTATTGCATAGAAAGTACATGTATTTCATTTGTATACAATCATGTACCACAGTAAAAAGCTTTGAAATTTCACAGCTTACTAGTATCTACAATTGGGTGTTTATAAAATTTAGCCTACATTACGATTTAGAGGTTTTTACAGAAACGATAAGGCGTTCATTTTGTGCTACTACGGGACTTTTTCGAAAACAATGAGACGAGTTACAAAATTCAGCGTCACCCAAGCGTGCAGACAACAAAAATCAAAATGGCGCCCCGGCGGCCAACTTCACAACGAGTTACAAAGTACGAGAAATGCGGCATAAATCTGCTTAATTCCGAGGTTGAAATACAATCAAAAGTTTACCGTCATTTGTACTACTGAAAATGTAAAAGCCCCAGTAGCGTGCTAGCACGTGCTACGACTAAGACGAATCGAAAATTTGGGAACCAGGCGTAGTGAAAGAAAATGGCGTCACATTTTTGCGAGTCAACTTTTACGGCAAAAAAATACAATTGAACGTTACTGTTAAAGGCTACAGTGTCTGTAGAACTTTCTCGATGTCACCCTGGATTCCATTACGCTCCCGTCCTAGGGTGAAGACGCCGGGTTTCGCTGTAAGCTCGTCTGCGGCCCTGCACATGCAGCGGCGTGCAGCGGCATGGCGTGCCGCATGCAGCGGCTTGAAAATTGTTAAAATCCCCACGGTCTGTATGAATCGTTCACCAGATCAGTTGTCGACCAGACTTTTTCTTCAATTTAATTATGACGTCCCGACGTTTGTAATTTTCCGAGACGCTTCTTTGGTACAATTAAACCGATCTTTCTCGAAGCTTGTGTGACTTGTTTACAAGATTCTCCACTTGGGATATTTCACCAGCATCATGGGTGAGCAGCTAGTTGAATAAAGAATAAAAACACCGTAAACTCCAAAAACTTTAAGCCCTCAAGTCAGTATTAGTAAATATCATTTTCTTTATTTAAACATCGTCGGCGACAAATAAATTTACATTTTGTACGGTAGATTGTACAGTAGAATCAAACCGCACGTCAAGTTTTCACCCATATTACAGTAGTCTGTTCCAATGACCCAACATTGTGACCCCCGGCGCCATCTTGAATCGCTCGGCCGGGCAAAACACAACGTAAACAGGCCGATTCTCCCCATAAATCCCCGCAAGTTTTTATTAAAAATCGATATAGACACACTTTTAAAAATGATGCGGTCGTCATGGGAAGGTTTTGGTCGCGCGTGGTCCCGACTCGAGCTGGCCGCGGTCGCGTCAGGAAGGTGGTCTACTTGGGCAGAGTGCTTAATGCTTGTGCCTATGGGAAAATATTTTCGGGACCGGAGAAAACCGGTCTATTTGGCCAGTAGGTCGTCTTGACAAGGTGGTCGCATGGGCAGGTTTGACTGTACCTAATTAACTGTCCATCCTTTATCAACGTTACCTATAAAAAATACCTGCAAGGGTTTCAAGGAGCATATTAATTTTTAATATCATATACAGCATATTAATTTTATTTTTTTAAAGTTGGAACTATGCCCTTGCCTCAACTTTATTACAAGTATTGGGTCACATTGTTCCGTAACAC